TCAACTTGGTGGCAGTGAATTTTTTTTTTTTTTTTTTTTTTGCCTCTGACAGGTTTCCGCCTTACACAGGTTCCAGCTTTCACAGGTTTTACTGTACCAGCAGGGTCACTCATGCTAGACAGGTTTCAGTGGAGCTTACAGACTAAGACAGACCAGGAAGAAAGGCCTGATGATCTATTTCCAAAAATTAGCCAAGAAAAATGTTAAGATGAGCCCCTCAGGCTGGAAGGCGCTCAGAAAACACACTGAACTCAAGCATATTTATGATCTTGAAGATGGCAAAGGACTGGGCAACATTTTATTCTGCTGTACATAAGGTCACCACAAGTCAAAGCTACTTGACAGCAACTAACAACAAGAAGACATTGAGCAAGGGTGGTTTATGATCTAGGATGGTTAGCTTATATACCCACCAAAATGGGATGAAAGGTAAAAGATCAGCTCTGTGTGGCTTCTACAGAAGAACAGATCCATGACCTGCAGAGGACATCCTCTGAGAACAAACCCAAAAGGCAGCCAGTGAGTTTCTCGAGTTATGTGCTATTTACCATTCCCTTCTGCGATGCTAGAAATTAATTCTCACCATCAGCACCCCAAAACACATGCACACACTCACACAACCTCTGTTCTCTTTCTCCAGCGATCCCCACGGGATTTCTTCCTCTATCTACCCAGCAAACATGATTTCTTTAATCCTGGAAATCAGTATTAACTCGGAATTCTCCTGTTGGCAAACCCAGTATTAGTCAGCTCTCAGCTAAAGATCTTGAAATAGAGGTAAGCATATGTTAGATTAACTTGAGCTAAACAGACAGGCAGACAGTGGGAGGACAGTTTTCCGAAAGCGTTCCTTATTAAAACCCATTTTGCCGGCATGGCTTCCACTCAGTGTTAGACTCCTGCTCAGATGGATGTCATGTACATACCCACTGCCCTCCTTTTTGCTTCCAAGACCTGGAACACTTAATAGTATAAATAAGCCAACACTTTAATTGACCACCATTTCTTTCTTTCTTTCTTTTCTTATGATTTGGGTGAAAGTTTGCAGAGCAAATTCATTTTCCATACAGCAGTTCATACACATTTTGTTTCATGACATTGATTGCAATCATCACAGTGCAACAGCTCTCTTCCCACTCCCTCCCTGTCGACCACCACTTCTTGAGATTCCACTCCGTGCCTGACACTTTGCTGGGCACGGATGATACAAAGATGAAGAACTGATGGCCTGGTGACCCCTAAGTCAGAGAAGATACAGAAAGGGCTCAGCCACTGACATCTTTGAGGTTTCTCCTCAGCCCCAGTGCCCTCCTCTCAGGACATGGAGGCAGGAGGACCATTTCTAGAGGCCACTTAGTACTCTCCCTTCCTAAGCTGCTCATGGCATTCACACCCCCCATTCCACCTTGGCCCTGAAATCAGGCAGAGTTTGAAAACGGTGCTCACTGCTGGGAAAAGTGATACTAGATGTCACAAGCCTAGATGAGGCAAACTGTTACACAACTGTTGGATAGGAAGGGATTCATAATAATAATAGCATTATATATTTATACAGCATTTCCCAGGCACTGTCCGAAGTGCAAAGAGCTCCGGTGGTACCATGGTTAAAGCAGTGAGATGCTAACCAAAAGGTCAGCAGTTCGAACATACCAGCCACTCTGTGGGTTAAAGATGAGGCAGTCTGTTTCTGTAAAGATTTATAGCCTTGGAAACCCTATGGGGGCAGTTCTACTCTGTCCTGTGGGGTCACTATGAGTTGGCAGTGGGTTTGGGTTTTTTGGTTCAAAGTGCTTCACATGTTACCTCATTTAATTCTCACATCAGTATATGTGCTGCCGAAGAGAGCACTTACTTCTCACATTAACCTGACGAACTAGGTAATACCACTATCCCCATTTTTTTTAAGAAAAGAAATGGAGACACAGAGATGCCCAGGGTCACATAGTGATTGGAGTGACAGACCAAGACTCAAATCCATGTCATCTGGTTCCATTCCAGGTTCTTAATCACTATACAGGACTGTCTTTTAAAAGTCATATTATGACCCTTGCTTTTTGAAACAAAAATAAAACAAATCAAGCCCACCACAAAACTAGATCTTTAACTTAAAGAAAGATGCTTGGTGAGTTTGCCCTGCCAGCCCTCATTTGCACACCAGAGCATTTCTCAACTGTTCCCATCCTACCCCAGGTTCACAATTAGTTATATATTAATAATGGCAAAGAGAGACTACTTTCTGTAGCCCCTTGATTCCAGCACTACCCCTTCTGGTGTTGAAACATCCTGAGACAGAGGAGCCAGGGTATTAAATTATGTGGGGGGAGGGTCATGGAAGCCCAGGAAACTGAAGGGACTTTGCCAAGTCACACAAAGTCAGAAGTACAGTCCATGGACCTGGGTCTGACTACCAGAACAAATGAACTAATCAAATAGTTCTAACAAGAAGCAAGGATTCCAGTCACCGTCATGTCAATTCTGACTCATGGCGACCCTAAGTGTGTCAGAGTAGAACTGTGTGCCACAGGGTTTTCAGTGCCTGTGACCTTTTAGAAGTGGATCAACAGCCCTTATTTTTGAGGTGCCTCAGGGTGGACTCAAACCACCAAACCTTTTGATTATTCATGTAAACACAGAGCCTCATGTATATGCACATACAAACACACAGAGATACACCCTCAACACTTATGTACCCAAACTAACCAAAATAATCATAAAACCATGTTCAAAATGTGCAACAATTGATGAAATCTCCCAGAAGACTTCATGCAGCCTAGAATTCCAATGAAGCAGATTTTCTGGGATTGCAGCACTATACCACTCTGGTGATGTAGTGCCTAAGGCATTTGACTGCTAACCAGAAGGCTGGCAGTTCAAACCCACCAGCCACTCTTCAGAAGGAAGGTTGGGCAATCTATTTCCATAGTGATGCCACCTCAGAAACCCAAGAAATGGTCACTATGAGTTGGATACGACTCAAAGGCAGTGCGTTTGGTTTTTTGGTTTAGTGAGGAAACTGCCTCTCTCCCTGTGTACAAGCTTGGTGGACACAGAGAGGATGAAAGATGCCAACACATCCATGGGCAAGTTGCACTCAATTCTACCAAAGTTCCAGGACATTGACCAAGTGACAGCTGCCTTCCATCCTTAACACATAGCTCTACAACTTTTGCTCTTTCCTTAATTAGAACCTGATCTATAGTTTCTGAAGATGGAGAGAGCAGCATCCACCTTCCCCTCCAGTATTCCACCTCCCACTTTCCCCTGCCTTTTGAGTCTGGGCTCTCCTTGCATGAAGGCTGTGTACTGGGAAGCACTGTGCCCAGCCTCAGCTGTGGACTGTAGTGAGAGGAAAGATAGGGTTTTCCAATTGTGGAAGTAGCTGCTGCTGCCCAGTGCTGCAGCTGGATAGGAGATATGGGGCTGCTATCACAGAGAAGCTCTGGTAGCATAGTGCCTAAGGCACTTGACTGCTAACCAGAAGGCTGGCGGTTCAAACCCACCAGCGACTCCTCGGAAGGAAGGTTGGGCAATCCTACTTCCATAGTGATACTGCCTCGGAAACCCAAGGAGGGGTCACTACGAGTCAGGGCCGACTTGACGGCACATAACAACAACAACAATCACAGGGGAAGGACCTCTGCAGAAAGATGCAAAACACAACCCATTTCAAGGAATGCTAGTTAGAGGTGTGCTATGGTCTGTACTTCAGATTTTAAAATGCCTATTTAAAGAGATAAACACATGGCTATATGGATATCCTCTGCTACACACGGCAACAGCAACTGAAGTGAGGCGGATGATACTCATTAAAGGCACCTAACTATGTTATTGTTGTCTTGTGCCATGGAATTGATTCCAACTATATAGGAAGAAAACAATAAAGCCTCAGTAAGACTGCAGATTTGCTCCAGAAAAGAAACTCTGGGTGCCCAGTGTTTTATGGTCAAGCTTTGAGAAGAACCTGGATCAAAAACAGGCTAGAGGGGCCTGGGAGCTGGAGGGGAAAGGGACCCTACAGGGAGCTGGGTCATTTTAAAGCATTGATGACTGACACAGGAACCTAGGATGAGAGATAGGAGAAGGCAGGACACAGCCAAATACAACAGCCAAGTCCAAAGATTTGAGGGCCCAGAGGTGGAAGGCAGGAGGGCAGCACAGGTCCATGGTGACCTCAGGCTCTCTCCAACCTCTGGCCCATTTCCATCCAGGAGGAGGCCAACCAGGTCTCCTCCCTGTCCCAACAGTCCCTCTAGAGGAGGGTTCTGGGCTTGTACCATTGGGGAACAAACTAGCCATTTTTCCATTAACTTTAATTGTTGTTGTTGTTGTTATTTGCCCTCGAGTCGGGTTTCCGAGGCAGTATCACTACGGAAGTTGTTGTTGTTGTTGTTGTTGTTATGTGCCGTCGAGTCGGCCCCGACTCATAGCGACCCCTCCTTGGGTTTCCGAGGCAGTATCACTACGGAAGTAGGATTGCCCAACCTTCCTTCCGAGGAGTGGCTGGTGGGTTTGAACCACCAGCCTTCTGGTTAGCAGTCAAGTGCTTTAGCCACTATGCTACCGGAGCTCCCCACTACGGAAGTAGGATTGTCAAATGGCATTCTCAATACTAGTCTGACAACCCCACCCCAAGGGTCATAGTGTGAGAACCTACAACAAAAATAAGAGCGGTGCAAGGGAGACAACGGAATGACCTTGCAACCATCAACGCCAAACTCTGTGTGTGTGTGTGTGTGTGTGTGTGTGTACGGGGGTGGGGTGGAGGGGTGGGATGCGTGCACCTGTCAGGGGAGGGGTGTTTGTAAAATACCGCAGAACCATCCCTAGCAGTGGGCAGGCGCTAAGGCATACTGGGCAGGAGACTGAGGCTACTACGTCCCTTAGTTAAAGTCGAGGTCTCCTCCTGAGTGCAGGGCAAGGCAGTCTCCCTGCCCCCTTACAGTCCCTCGCCCCGGACTGCGGTCTTCCCGCGCCCCTCCCGGCTCTGCCCTCACACTCACTAGCGCAGCGCAGAGCCTGCCGCAGCACCTCTCGTCCGCATAGGTCACACCAACCGGGGCCGCTCCGCAGCGCTAATTCAGCGAAGCAGTGCCCCTCTCCTCTCTCTGCCGGGACGCGGGGATCCTGTGGCTGCTCGAAGATGCTCCGCACATCGCGGGGTCGGGGCGCCCCAGGCCGCCGCCGCAGTCTCTGCTGCAGACCAGGCCGGAGAGGGCGAGGGTGTCGAGAGGCCCGGGCTTGCGGCTCCAGGTCCCCTGGGGCAGCCCTCCGGGCGCCGCGCCCCTCGTGCGCCCCAGGCGCAGAGGAGAGGGGAGCGGCTGCGCAGCGGCGCGAGGACCGGCCAGAGGGTGGCGGCGGCCGCGGCTGCGGCTCGGGGCTGCCCAAGCTCTGCAGATAGCGCGGCGGTTCGGAGTCTAAGAGCAGAGAGTACGGGCGCTGCCCGATGGCTGGGGACGCCATGGCTATGCCCGGCTAGTGGCGGCGACAGCAGCTGCTCTGGCCGCGGCGCTACTCCCGAACCAGCCTCGAGAGAAGGGGCGGCCCCACGCGAGCGCGCCTTTAAAGGGACCGCAGCCAGCAAGGCGGGGCGACTTCGGAGAGGCAGGAAGGACAGCCCCAGGGAACCACAGACAGACTGAAGGGTAGGGATGGCTGGGGTGGGGGTGGATAGCGACAGAGCGAATATGGATTTAGTGGCGCGTGGTGGCTCAGTGATTAAAGCACTTGGCTGCTAACCAAAAGGTTGGTGATTAGAACCCACCAGTCTCTCCTCGGAAGAAAGTTGAGGCAATATGCTTCCGTAAAGATTTACAGCCTTGGAAACCCTTTGGGGTAGTTCTACTTTGTCCTATAGGGTTGCTATGAATCATTCCAACTAGATGGCAGTGAGTTTGGTTTGTTAGGGAGGCAGATTGGACCACTAGGGTAGCTGAGGGGCTTAGTATGGGAAAGGTTCTCTTCAGCACAACTCGGAAGAGGCATTTCTGTAAAGTCTCTCTTCCCTCGCTTCCCCAGTACCCTTAGGTGAGGACGCTAGGAGCAAGCTGAGGATGGGGTCTAAGGAGGGAGGCGACAGTCTAGATGTCAGCCCGCCTCCTTCCCCAATTTCACGCGGACTGGTTCCCGGTTTCCCTAGCCACTGCCCCATCTCGAGCGGAGCCAGACCTCGGCTAGGGGCAGAGGGCGGGGGGCGGGCGAGGGTCGGGAATGCCCAGGCTCGCGCTCCGCCGCAGCGCCGAGTCCCGTGATGCGGTGGGACGCAGGCACCCGGGACGCTTCCGATGCTGTCCCAGAGAAGGGAAGCCACCTCCGCGTCGCAGAAGCCTGTCGCAAGCGATTTTCACTCTTACTGCGTTTCCCCTTGCTCAGTAGCCATGCCCACTTGGATGTTCCTTTTCCCTGTAGGAGTGGAATTGCGGTGACTGTAGGTTGGGGAAATTTTTCTTCCTAAAGCAAACCCTCCTCCCCCCATAGCTGTCAGAGTAATTACTGTGTAGACCGCCCCTCCCCCACACGCAAAAAAAAAAAAAAAAGAGCTCTACTTTGTACCTGATGTGGACAGTGGACAGTTTCCTCTGTGAGACCAAAAGACCATTTCCCTTTTCTAGAAGCACCAAGGCAAGCTTCATGGTCCACTGCCTAGTTTAATGTTCGGATCCCCCTGTCTTAATGTTTGAATCAAAAACTAAAACCAAACAAGCAAAAAAACAAACCCATTGCCGTTGAGTCGATTTCGACTCATAGTGACTCTACAGACAGGGAAGTACTATCCCATAGGTTTCCAAGGCTGTATTCTTTGAGCCTGATGGATTCCAACCACTAGCAATGGCCAAGCACTTAACCAGTTCTCCTGTTTGAACCAAGGGTCCTGCATTTCTTTCCTGTGCCGGTTCTTGCAAATTATGTAGCAGGTCCTGACCAGCACTATTGCCCTATGGAGAGAGAGTGGAAAGGATGTATATACCAGCTCCATTTCTTGGGTGAAAACTTAGGCAGAGCCAAAACTCCTGGATCTCTGAATGGAATTTGTATGTTGTTAAAACCAGCTGTCGGACCTCGGTTTTCTTAACTGTAAATTGGGCCAGGAGTGAGGAGACAGGTAACCTGCTTTTGCCTCCTCTCCAGTTCCTATACTGACTCCATGAACACACCTTTCTTTTAAAAACATGACTTAGTGGAGGAAGATGAGGAAATCTACTTCCGTAAAGATTTACAGCTTTAGAAACTCCAGTGGCGGTCACTATGAGTCAGAATCAACCCCACAGCAGTGGGTTTTTTAGTGAAGGTGGCCAACAACCAATTTTGGGAATAATCTAAATTCTTCCAGACCTAAGAGACTCTCTCCCTGTTCCAGGCCAGAGATGGGTCTCCCCCTAGTGTCTGGTAGGGGAATCTTCACTTTTGCTTTTTGTTTGCCTCTCAGGGGTAATTTTTGGCAAGCCCTAAACATTCTAGAGCTTTTAGGAATTCCCAGAGAATTCCTAGCCTGCTTTAGTACATGGCTTTTCCCTCCTTTGGGTCATGATCCTAGAGCCCTCTGCCTCTGTATCTGTAGCCAAGACCATGTCACCAAGTCTCACCAGAAGGTACAAAATTCTCACCTCACCAAGTGGTTTCTGGGTAGATGGAGGCATGTAGACATGAACAACTCCCTCTCCACCCCTCCTCCTCCTCCACCTTTCCTCTTCCCTCCCAGAACCTTCAGCACCTTGCTCTACTGGTGATTTCCAAACTTTGGGCTGCATCACAATCCCATGGAGGGCTTGTAAAATCACAGATTACTGGGCTCTACCCCCAAAGTTTCTGAGTCAGTAGGTCTGGTGCTGATGCTGATGTCCTGGGACCACACTTTGAGAACTAGATCGAAGATGGTAATAAGAGAATAGACTTCTCTGGTTTCTTCCTTGAAGAGCAGGTGAAGTGCAGTGGCACAGAACTGAGAAAACTCAAGGTGGTGGTGGTGGGGAGGTGTTCTGGTTACCCAGTGCCACTCCACTCTGATAAGACTATAACACAAATGGGATAGCTTGAACAAACAGGAGTTTATTCTTTTACAGTTTGCAAGCTTTAAGTCTGTGTTCAAAGTGCCAGGCTCTAGGGGCTGGTTGAAAGCCCCTCAACCTTGGGCTTTAGCTCTGCCTCCTGCTCCCGGCCCACTGGAGCTGGAGGCTTCTCTTCACTCAGACAGTTGCTGGCTTCTGAGTCTGACAAGCCCAAGGATGACAAGTAAAAAGGCACATTTCTGATGTTACCAAACCACACGGCAGGCCATTAATTCAAATCCACTGAAAATCCCAAGGTCGGTAGAGCATGGCAGGCTGCTGAACATTGGCACGGCTACATGCAGGGTTCAAGCATGCCATATGCTAGAGACCATTCCCCAACCCTTCTCCTTATTTACAGAAAGCAGACCACAGCCCTAAGGCAGCTACTCAGCTGCTCATAGTAGATTATGGAGTTGATTACCAGTCTCATCCTGGGGAACACTACATCCAGCTGCCCAGCCACTTAAACCAGGCCCAGTCAAGTTGGCACACAAACTTGACTACCACAGGAGGGGAGCAATTCCTGAATGCTTTCTGCCTAATGTGCAAAAGGAAAAGTGCAATTTGCCTTTGTGGTCTCTTATTGCCATCTCTTCCACTTTTTCTGCAAGCAATACTCTTGAAGTTGTTGCAGAAACCTGTATTGCATATAAATATCTGCCCGCACCCACCCTCTGTTATTCATCCATCTGTAAGGCTTAGGACTCAGTCCCTCCCAGGAGGGCAGTGGGCAGGGGTGACTCCAGGGTGTGGATCAAGTTCCGGGTGGCAGCTTAGAATGGCAAAAAGAAGCAGGAATCTGATATATTATCAGAGACCAGTTTTGAAATGCCATTTGTGAAATAGTTGTCAACAATCATCATTTTCTACCCCCACCCCACCCCACCCTGCCCCCTTTCCCCAGCATGGTTTGGGCAGCTCAGTCCCATAGATTCCCACAGAATGTGGCTCATGGGGATAAGGGTCTTCTCTTGCCCTGGGAAGTTCAGGACTATCTGGAAGAATTAGGCATAAAACCCTTCCCAGTTCCTTAGCTGTGTGGAGAAAAGTTCTGGTGTTTGTTTTCCTGCTGTAGTCCTGATTTGTGGGCTAGTGGTGGCTGCTCCCAGGACTGAATGGGGGAGGAGACTTGCTGGGTCAGGGCTTCTGGGATGGGAACAGAGATGGAAATGGAGCTAACATAACTTCATGTAAGCAATCCAAAAAAAATTTATCAAGTTTATCTTAAGGTTCATCTCTCAGAGCCAAGAAATTGAGGTCAGGGGAGTGGTAGCCTCCTTACAACCTCAACAGGTGCTGTTTGCCCAGGACTTGGCTCCTCTGATACCCACTCTCCCAGCTGCCCTGCCTTCTTCCTCTCTGAAACAGCATCCCCTACCTCTCACCTCTTCTGGCACATACAAAGTAGCAACTCATTCCTCCTTGCCTGGGAAGCAGTACTAAATAAACCCTAGTGTAGAGTCAGGCCATTGCCTGACTAGTATCTAGTGCCTGGACTTGAAAATATTTTAAATTGGTTTTAGGCCATTCAAGCCACAAGGCTGAAACCTTAGCATTAGCTGAGACACCACTGCTGGGAGTTTTTCGTCAGTGCTGGCAGATCCCCTTGGCTCCCAGTTGTGGACTTTTTGATGTGACTCACTCCCAGAGGAGTGTGTGTACTGCTTTTATTTTTCCCAAGGGGAAGGACTATGACAGTGAGTTTTGAGTGTGGACAGTATGTGAGGTTACTACAGAGTAGTCCCAGAACATATTTGTTTCCCCATTGAGGAGTTGTTTCAAGGGCTGTTCCCAACCCCCTCAGTGAGCTCCCTAGTAGGAAGGAAAAGTCAAGGACAGAATGTGGCCCAGCTCTTGTAGAGGAAGTTTTGGTTTTTGTTTGGCTTTGAGGCATTTGAAGGCCCCTGAAATTCCCAAGGCTTTGAGGGAATTCCCAGTGGTTCTGACAGCTGTACAATGTCCCATAGGATCACAGTTTCAGTCAGGACAGGCTAGGTTATGCTGCAGTAATAAGCAACCCCCAAAGCTGTGTGTCTTTGAATAACAGATGTTCTGTTCTCACTCTTGTAATGTGGTACATGCCCCCACAGTCCTTGCAGTTGGTAACTTTCCACAGTAACTCTCTTTAAACTAGCAGTTGCAAACAGGAAACAGCAAGAGTACACCTGTTCCTACCAGATTTGGCCCACAGAGCATGTCCAGAAGACTAAATAGCCTTGTCCTAGGATGACCCAGTGTGACATACATATTTTCCCCGAAAACTCCCCCACCAGTCATCCTAAGCTGCCATTTTTAAAACATGTGATATATAACCACTGCTCCTGCACTTGCACCACCCTAAAAATCCCTATGCATTAGATCTCCTAGAATTTAAATGAATATATATAACTTCCGCTTTCAAACCCCATAAAACTGTAACTCACACTTCCTCTGGGGAGTCAGATCTGAGAAAGAGTCCTCCTGGCTCCTTACCTAAACCAAAAACAAA